TCATTTCCAATAAATGATTCCGGATAGCACTCATTTACTTTAATGAATACCACACATTTCAAGAAGCTGTATAAGGCTGCAATCCTATACCCACTTAGCTGGTAGGAAGCCCCACTGAACTCAGTAGGACTTATTTCTGAGTAGATATGGCTTGGCTCATGCTATAAGGCAGAGCAGTCCAGCTTTTCATGTCAAGAGTATTTTGACATGAAACCTGTGGATTACAAACTACCTTGGCACATGGGGGTGGGGAACAAGGCCAAAATTTGATACTCCCTCCCCCCCCCCAGCCCTCATGCTGCCTTCCCAAAACCAGCTAAGCAAGACACTGAGCTTTGAAAAGGAGGCATGAGGCTCTGGCATGATCCTAGAGTCCTCCCACCTGCTTCCCAAAGCTGGAAAAGTGATAACTGGGCTTTGGGAATGCAATGTGAAGACTGGGGTGGGGTGTCAAATGTTGCCAAGGGCCACCAAAAGGGCACTGAGGGCTGCATGTGGCCCTTGGGCCAAGCATTGGAGCACCCTGCTGTAAAATATTAGTAACTACCCAAGTGTCAATCACAAAGGGACTTTCCAGACTTTTGTTGCCTGTGTGTTATTTCAGTACTATTAACTATGGCCATAATCACATCATGCGGTACTTTTAAAGCGCTTGGATACTGTTCACAAATGATAACATTTATTTGTTTCATATATATATGAAACAACATGAAAGTAGTAGTTATACGCAATCAATTTCAATTAATACATTTTATCATATATGTGTATATATATATATATATATATATTCCTACGATATCAAAACCTCTCATTTTCTGAATAAATAAACAAACAAATAACAAAGACCTGTCTTTTATAAAGTCCTTTCATTTTCATTCAGTTCAAGGTACAATGTTTACTTAAAATCCTTAATTAAAGTTAGGGGAGGTAGGCACCGAGGTAATAGGTTAATTGAAAACTGGATTTTGTTTATTGCTTACTGGAATTGCAGAATGCAAGTTACAGTAAATCCTTATATATTCTTTGGAGGTATGCAGATTTAAGAAACAGTGGGATTTGTATTCTATTAATTAATTCTTTTTTGTGTGTGATGCCATTTCTTATACTGCAAGCGGCTCAGGTCCTCGAGGATTTTTCCAGCTCTGCAAACCCAAGATTGCCCTTTGGCTTCACTAGTTTGTTGTCTCACAACTTCTTCTGGTTATGCTTAGACAATCATTCTTTCTTCTTTCTCCCTCCTCCATCCATTGTGTTTCTTCTCTCTCTGATCTTGCAAATTCAAGTCCAGCCGTGCTGTGCCTGCTGGATTTCCTCTTTCCACTGACCTACATCATTTCTATTGGCTTTCACTCACTCAGCCTCATTACACCGATCTTCTTCCTCAACCTCATTAGTATTTTCATATCTTTGTGGCTTCACTTTTTATGCCATCTGCTATATCCTGCATGACTCATCACTAGAACAACAAGAATCCCTCCTCATGCTAAAGCAACAATAAGCTCAGCAAATTGTCTGCTCTCCTGCCAAAGTGTGGGAAGAACAAAGCAGAATACAAAGGTGGTGCTGAATTAAAATCTGAATGGAAACATTTTTTTAAAAGATATAAAATCCCCTGCAGGTGCCTAACACCCGTTCAATTTTGCTTGATGTTAGCAAACTGAAAATTCTTCCTTTTTAGATGTCTTGGTTTGAAGCTGTTACAGTCCTAAATCTGAACAAATCTGAAATCTTTTCTAGCACATTTTTACCGGTACACACCACTGTAAACATTATTCAGTCTTAAAATCCATCTGAAAATGGTAAGAAGAAAAGGCAGTTGTGAGGGTTTCCGAAACAATTTCTTGAAACTGAGTGAATGGTCATTAAAATGGCAAATGCAATGCAATGTGGGCAAGTGTAAAGTGATGCACATCGGAGCCAAAAATCCTAATTTCACATAAACACTAATAGGGACTGAACAGGCAGGGACTGACCAGGAAAAAGGTCATGAATTGTGATGAATAGATCAATGAAAATCAGCTATGAGTAAAGCAAATTTTATACCAGGGATAATTAGGGAAGGGACTTAAAATAAAACTGCCAATATCTTTATGCCATTATTCAAATCTATTGTGCAACCATGTTTGGAATACAGTGTTTGGTTCTGGCTGCTGCACCTCATAAAGGGTATTGTATGGTTGAAATAGGTTCAGTATTAAGCAACCAAACGATCAAGGGGCTGGAGTGACTATCCTATTAAAAAAGGTTCCAACATTTGCAGCTTTTTAGTTGGGAGTACAAGGGAAGGGGAAACATGATAGAGCTGTGTAAAATTATGCATAGTTTGGAGAAAGTGGATAGATAAAGGAATTTAATAAAGAGAGTTTTCTTCATCTCTTAGAATATTAGAATCTGGGGTCACCTAACGAAGCTGAATATTTGAAGATTCAGGACAGGTAAAGTACTTCTTCATGCTGCACATTGGGAAACTGTAAAACTCACTGGCACTTGGATCACTTTATAAGGCTAGACTTTGGTGCACTTGATGGACTTGGAGCCAGATCTAGCAGGTTCTTCTGTTTTTATCCTCAGAAATATGAAGCATGGTCCAAATTAAGTTATGGACATGTAGGTCTGATTAACTTTGATAGGTGAGATAATGCATTTGGGAATGTTTGATTTATGAAATAAACATTTAAATACAACCCACAGGGGGGAAAAATGTCAAAACAACAAGGCTGCTCCCTGTTCCATCAGTTACTCAGGGTTCAAATTCGTTTTCCTGGCTCAATGCTGCTTTTTAATGTGTGCATTATGAGGTTGTTTTCTGCTTGCTATCAATAAATCCCACATCCACTCTCCATTAAGAGGTGTTGGAGAGTTACTTTCCTGCATTTCACAGTGTATGTTGCGATAATGAGCACAATTAGTGATGACTATTTTCATTTCATATATTTATTGCTTTGTTTGGCTAGGGTGAGATTCATACGCCAATATTGCAATATCTTGAAAGAAAGTTCAAGGAACATTAAAGAGATAAGTGAGAAATCAACAGATCAATGAATCAAGCATGAATGAGTGCTCTCTCTCATTGAATCACAGAGGGATAGTGTAATTAGTGTGTAGCAGCAAATACAATATTGCAACATTGTAAAGACTAAGAGGGATAATGTGCTTAAATGTATATAGATTAGGGTTCATCAAACACATGGAGTATTATCCTCAAGTTGGCAGACAGATATATGCATGTATCTCTTATATATATGTATGGTGTACACACAAACGCATACAGATATACATACACCTAGAGATGAAATGAAAAAGAGAAAAGAAAAGAAAAGAAAAGAAAAGAAAAGAAAAGGTGTAGGTCATGAAATGTAGGAAGTCCACTGGCCAATACAGTGGTACCTCGGGTTACATATGCTTCAGGTTACATACGCTTCAGGTTACAGACTCCGCTAACCCAGAAGTAGTACCTCGGGTTAAGAACTTTGCTTCAGGTTGAGAACAGAAATCGTGCTCCAGCGGCGCGGCAGCAGCAGAAGGCCCCATTAGCTAAAGTGGTGCTTCAGGTTAAGAACAGTTTCAGGTTAAGGACAGACCTCCAGAACGAATTAAGTATTTAACCTGAGATACCACTATATGTGTTTGTTACCTTTCTATGTAAAGCTTACACAAATACAACATAAGAAACGACCTATTCAAGACAGCGGCAATTGGTGCTGCTATCTGGGTAGCAAACTATGGTCAGCTAATTTAACGGCTGCAGGGAGGCATTCCTTCTGCAGTGCATGGGTCACTTCTGATCTTACATGCTTTTGAACTTTGAATAGTAATAGCCTTTTGGTCTTATTCTTTTCATTCCTCCCTCCCTTATTCTACTTGTAAGCTGCCCAGAGGACTTTGCATTATGGTGCTGGGTTGTAGAGGCTGCCCTGGGGTGCCTTTGTGTCATACCTGGAAAACTTTGGCAAAAGCCCTTGCAATTATGGCAAAATGTGGAAAAGGAGGATGGCAGGTACTATGTCATCACACAGTGCAGGATGTAAAATACCTGGGCTTTTTGTTTTGTTTTGTTTTGTTTTTTTTTAAAGGAGGGAAAGTTGAGGTATAAAGCCAGGACAACGGAAAGGCTTGCAAAAATAAAATCAAGCCAATACTAAGTTCAACAATTTACTGCCCCAGTGACCACCATGTAAGGTGTGGGGTCTGTAGCTGTTAGAACCTGGATCTCTCTCTCTGATGCCACCACAGCTCCAGAGGCAGCAGATGTATGTTCCTCCTGTTATCAATGCAGTATATTATTTATACCAATTTACTTGTTTATTTTATTTTTTATTAAGTTTATATACTTCCCTTCATCCCAAGATCACAGGGTGGTTTATAATATAAAAGCTATTTAATGTTACACACACACAAATACACAGAGAGAGAGAGAGAGAGAGAGAGCTCTTTTTACAATGCAGCTTAAAAAAAATTAAAACACCTATCGATTTATCGCCCATTGATGCTTGTGTTGTCTTGGCCCATAGTCTAAGCCCATTTATTATTCCACGAAAGCACTTCGTTTAGCACATATTGGTGATTACCACTTTATTATGTTAGGGCTTCGCGCTTGCCACGTTTTTATTAAACACGTTTCAGTTTATGATGGAGAAGGAGGTGGTATTCAGAATTCGCCTAATGCATCTCTCAGGAACCAAGTCCTCGCCAGTCGTTCAGTACAGAAACAATGACCTCATGCCCCTTTCGGCTACACACACACAGCGGCTGTGGCTGCTTTATTGTCCCGCTGGGGCTGCGTTACAAACGAGTTCCCCTTCCCTTGCTCTTCCACAAACGCAGAAGTGAGGAAGGAGAGGGAGGGAGGGAAAAGAAGGACTACAATTCCCAGTGTGCCTTTCGATAGCTGCGCGAACAGAGAAAGAGGAGGGAGAGAAAAGTTAGGAGCGAAGGAGCAGCGCTTGGAATCACTGAGGCCGCTGTGCGCATGCGGGCAGGAGCCCTGGGAGAGAATGCCAGCGCAGGAGCTCCTATTCGCAGAGCGGGTTTACGCCCGGTTGTGCGCGTGCGGGCCCGCGCCGCCTTAGGAGCGTGCGCTACGCGATTTGCGCGGCGTTATTGTGAATGGCGGGGGGGAAGGCGGGGTGGATTCTATGCCTTGTATGCATGCATGCATGTATGTGAGTGTGTGTGGTAGTTGGTAGTGGCGGCGGCGGCGGCGGCGGCGGTGGGAGGAGGATGATGTCAGCCTGCGAATGTCAACAATGTAGCGATTGAGGGGAGTAGGCGGCGTTCCATTGGGAAGAGCGCGAGCCACCGGGAGAGTCAGTGGAACCAACAGGACGGGGGCAGCAGCCGCAGCCGCAGCAGCAACAATACGACGCCGCCGGGCTGCGAAGAAGCGCGGAGCTGCCGCCGCCTCCGCCACCGCCTTCGCCTTGTGCACAGAAGCCCCCGAGCGCTGCAGCTGCAGAGCAAGCCCTGCGTGGCTCCCCCCTGCCACCTCTCTCTCTCTGCCTCCCCCCACATCCCTTTTCGCCGTTGCAGCCTCTTCTTCCTCCACCACCACCACCACCCTCTTCCACTTCCCCGCCCCCTCCCTTTTATATGTCTATATCCATTTCTGTCCCCCCCTCCTTTTATGTCTATGTATATGCATGCCTATATGCGCGTGTACATAGGCATATCTAAAACTCCTCCTGTGCAAGACTTCGCTTCGCGAGGCAGCTGGCTGTTGTTGTTTCCATTTCATTTTATTTTTTGATCGGAGAGCAAGTCGGTATGTGACCGGCGCCTTCTTTGAGGCGCACATTTTTCTACAGACCACCTCAGCGGCCACCGCGAGAGCCCTCAGCGAGATCCAGTTTGTTTTGCTTTTTTTAAAAGACATATATAGATAGATATATTTCGCCCCCTTCCCGACGTTGGCAGGGAAAGGACCGGTCGCTTGTCGAAAGTTGCGTGGATGAGAAGGTGAGTCTCGTTCTCTCTCTTTTTCTTCTCAGGATGGGAGGAGGGCGAAGTTTGGCGCCGCGGGTTATCTGGGGGGGGGGGGAAGGGCTGCTTTCCTCGCGGCGGGAGGGAGAATGTGCCTGCGCTTTATTTCTCTGCCTTTGTATTCTGGCGGGAGACCAGCCTCGTTGATCCGGAGGCTTCAGAAAGTCGAGACGTTGCAGCGCGGGAAGTGTACCCGAAGCGAAGCCAGACCTGTTGTGAGGAGGCGGACGGCCGTGTGTTGCGCTCCGAGAAGATCTGTTTTGTGTGTGTGTGTGAATGTAAATTGTGACCGGCACTGCTTTGGCTCTGTTGGGAGTCCCGCGCAAGGGTGGCTTTTATAGGTGGCTGGGGAGGAGCGAAGCGGAGGGAGGGGTGTGTGTGTGGCGTGGAGAGGGTTAAGCCTGCCTTATACAGTGGGCATTTTTTAATTTCATTAAAGCTTCCGTCCCAGCGCGCCAGGGGAAAAGTGGTGACTGCCCTGTGCATGCCCGGGGATGGGTGTTTTGAGCAAGCCGCAGGAGGAGGAGCTCAGGATAGTAAGTCGGAAAGCGGGGAAGGGGAGGGGTGGAGTGGAGAGAGAGCGACTCTTGTTTTTCATGCGAGCAGCTGTCAGATTGCGAGGCCTTTTTAACAAGCTGGGAAAGAGGGAAGGGGGAGTTGGCAGGCAAATATTCCCTGGCCTTGCACATCTACTTTTATGAATTCTCCCCTTCCTCCAAATGTGTCTCCGGTGCATTCCAGTTTTCCTGTGTTGCAACAGCGACTTGATGGTTCTCAACTGGGGTTGGGAAAAGCTTGTGCAGAACCTGGGAATGCCTTGAGACAAGTTGTAAGAAAGGAAGAGGTTGTGTTGTTGTTGCTGCTGCTGCTGGTTGCTTCAGGTGGTGCTGAATAGTGAGCGGGCAGAGAGGAGATGGGTTTCTTTTTGTGAGCTTGTTTTGTTTGTTCAATCTGGGTGGCTAAATGCTTCCTGCCAGATCCTTATTAAAGCCATCCAGCATGGGCAAGGCATGCAAAGCTGCTCGCATTATACCCGCTGCTTTTGCCCTCATCCTCCCATTGGGGCTTCCTATTCACAAGTCAATATGGATTGGGGATGTCAATCTGGTCAGCACCTCAAATCCTTTCTTGCCTCCCCTTCTCCCTCCCTTTCCTTCTTTGGAGCATAATAGGAATAACTTTGTGGTGCATTGCAATGAAATGAACACTTTGGGAGTCAATACTACATTGCAAGTTCCTGTGTATTCAAAGGCAGTGTCTAGTATTATTCTGTTGATTGCTTTGAAGAGAAATTTATGTTCTGTTTCCTCCCAGAGAGAGATCTAGAGCATGCATTTGTGAAAGTACTTGGGTCACTGTGTGTAAATGTGCATACTTAGGACATCAAAAATGATTGCTTCATTTATAGCGTCAGGCTGCCAAATCATTTAATTACTGGAAGTGCCTTGTGGCAAGCAAAACTCTCCTTTAAATTATTTGTGACAAACGTTCATTATTGTAACACAAAAGATTGTGCCATAGTTTTTTTAAAGAGTGGTTTCTATATCAATTTAATCTGTTGAGTTGCACAGCAAAGGATAATTACTTCCCAACAAAATATCTCACTTGCCTAGTGGGTTCCCAAAATAAGATAATGCCAAATGAAAGACCACATTTTTCATCTCTCTCTCTCTACTCTGTATAAAGTTGGAGAGAGATGTTAACGCCGATAATTATTTTCCCAGATCATTAAAATGTAACATACAGACCAGGCCTCTTAACTGTAAAGGCTTTGGCTGTCATGAAGTAAGCTAAGTGTGAAATCATGCCTCTCCTTTTGTGGAACAGGCTATTTTTGTAAATCACCAGGCGTCTTTTTTAAAACGCTTATTGTGAGATCATTGGGCTTTTCATTACTGAGGCACTGGCAGATTTTGAGTAAACTTTTTTTTCTATTTTAGATTATCAGGATGTGGAAGTGACACCTTCTTACATGGAGGGGCCATAGTTTAGTGACAGAGAACATCTTTATGTGCAAATAGTCTCTAGTTGAATTTTTTGCCATCTCTAGTTAAAAGGAAAATAGGTGACATGACAGACCCATCTCTGTTTGAGATCCTGGAGAACTTACCAGTCAGAGAAGGCAATGCCTGGGACAGATTGGCACATGACTTAATGAAAGCAGAGGCAAATTTCAAACCAGGAATTTCTTATTTGTGGCTCAGCCACTCAATCACTATGCTATACTACATATATACAACACACATAATATGTTGTGCTAGGTACACACGTGTCCTCTGTTTGGTACAATTTCTCCCTAGAATTACGTAGGAAAATGCTCGTATTTAGGGATTAGGACCATTACAGACCGATCCATTGTATATTCACTAAAAACAAGTCCAGTGCTGATCAGTGCACTTACTCCCTGGTAGGTGTGAACAGAAGTGCAGTCTTGGCCTACATTCAAAATCACATAGAGTAAAATTTTCATTGATCTCAATGGGGCTTTCTTCTGAATAAGCACGAACAGGATTAGGCAGCACACGACTATGTATTGTCCCTATTAAAATCATATTTTCTTAGAATAAAATGCTAATAAATGTTATCCTTTGGCAGTAGAAATAATTTAGCACTCTTTTAATATGACTTCCTATGCTAGGTTGGACTATTTGCCAATCTGTGTCTTTCACTATGCCAGTTCATAGCGTTATGAGCGTGAGTCGGCTGGGTATTGGGCTCACATGAACCCTTCTCCCCTGTCTTCCTTTGATCTAGCTGCAAAAAGGCAATTGGAAGCTTCAACTTCCACTTCCACATTTTAAACTAACCAGAGTTAGTTACATATGGATTTAGGGGGATTTTGGTTTGAGTAAACTGTTTTTTTCAAATAAGCCATGATCATGCTATTGAGTATTATCCTGGCTTGTTCTAAAACCATAGCGTAAAAGTAAATACAAATTAATTTAATAAAAAGTGGTTCTAATCCTCTCCCTATATCCATACCATGGAGCGAGAACATGTGAGCCGAAGTGTGATAAGTGTTAAAGCAGGCATAGGCAAACTCGGCCCTTATCTGAAGGGACTACAACTCCCATCATCCCTAGCTAACAGGACCAATGGTTAGGGATGATAGGAATTGTAGTCCCAAAACATCTGGAGGGCCGAGTTTGCCTATGCCTGTGTTAAAGTCATATTTTAGTATTGCACCACAACCCCAGCAAATATAGGCATGACTTGACCTACAGCAGGGATGGGGAACTGGGTCTGACTGGTGTTTCAGATCAATATTTCTCCCATCCCACTCCATGGTCAGGTGGGCAGGGCCACAATGATGTTAGATAAGCCCTCCATCTTTTTGTCCTCATGGTTTGAAATCAAATATTGCAGTCAAAGACTCAACCTGTAAAGCACAAATGATCAGCTGATGTTGGATGCTGTGAAGACCCCCGAGTCAGCTGATTGTCACATCTTGCTACACACTTGTGCACAGCACTTTGCACAGGCCTTTGTAGGCACTTTGTAGGCATGCCAAACACTACACCAATTCAGCTGAGCCAGGTCTCTCATATGGTGTTGGGCATGGAGCAGATGAGCATAATGTGATCAAAATGGCCTCATGAGCCAAATGGGGAAGCGTGATTAGGCCCACAAGATGAAGGTTCTCCATGCCTTACCTTTATACAGTATTGTGCTTTATAAATTGCTAAGCCTGCTTCACTCATTAAGATTTACTCGTGTCTTTTTTTTTATTGAGTAACAATTGTTATTACCTATTTGAAGCTTATGTAAGTTCAACACACATCAAATATACCCCCCCCCCCAATTTTTTTTAATAGAGATGTACCTTAGATGTTTATGTCAGCATTGTAGCTTTTTGGATATGGCAATGAATAGATTTTAAGGAAACATAGCTAATAAAACAAAATGCTAATACATTTTAGCCTGTAAACAGTAAATAATACTCCAATTATTTTTTTAATGAATGTCAGAATTGTAAGACGGTGCCAGTTCTGCTCTGTTGTAGAATACTTCCTCACACTTCAGCCCAAATTGAGATATGTCGTTGAAAATATTGGATGCTTGACATCGAATTCTTAGTGTAAAAGGGATGGCATTTTGTTTTGTGTTTCTTTTTCAACTCCCTGCTTTACAAGCGTGGGAATAAGAGTAGGGATTGTACGTTGGTATTCCCAGTTCTGCAGATAACTTGTTCTGTGACATGCTTCATTTTCTCAAGCTGTACAGGTAATGCCTACAGCGATGTTATAAAGATGATTGATGTTTTCAAGAGAGTTAAGAGATCTCTTGATGAGCAAATACTGTAGAGGTTCAAGCAATAGCTGAGGTAAACTCCAGACCTAATTAACTTCTGGAAGGTATGCATTCATATGCAATTGTAGGCAGGAGAGACAGGTTGAGGTGTGGAGGGATGACTACACACTGCTTCTTAACTTGCCACTAGAGAGCCTTGTGGGAAACTTGCAGTGCAGTCCTGTGTATGTTCACTCAGAAGTGAAGTTCAATAAAGCTGTGAATAAAATTGCAGCCTTAATCACAAAACCCAAAGGTCTGGGTTTATCCAGACAAAGAAATGCACATGTGACCTTTTGTGAACAACTTCTGTGTGAAAACAGAGCAGGTAGTGCTTTTTCACCCAAAGACAAATCACAGGGGATATTCTTATAGTGGTGGCCCATGTATAAAAATGCAGCATATGCACATTCAGAAATGGATACGGTCTGGGGTAAAATTGTTGCATACTTCAGCTGGGAGCTTAAGAACTACCGTATTTTTTGCTCTATAAGACTCACTTTTTCCCTCCTCAAAAGTAAGGGGAAATGTGTGTGCGTCTTATGGAGCGAATGCAGGCTGCGCAGCTATCCCAGAAGCCAGAACAGCAAGAGGGATTGCTGCTTTCGCTGCGCAGCGATCCCTCTTGCTGTCCTGGCTTCTGAGATTCAGAATATTTTTTTTTTCTTGTTTTCCTCCTCCAAAAA